CACAGTCGCACAGACATATAATCAAGAGATGCTGAGATAAAATTGCATGGCGTAATGCCTTTAAAGCATTATGCATGCATGATGATATACACACCTTGCTTGCTTTTATGCTCTGTCGTCTCCAAGAATAATATATGTTACCACTTTTTTTTACACATATGGCGTTAACATTGGCCTGTTACATGCATGCATATATGGATCATTTGCTTGGGAACAAATTAAACTGTGGACTATGTGTTCATTCAGTTAACGTGGTCAATTAGGCTTAAGGCTTTTGGTCTCAGGGTGGGGATTGTATTGCAACTGGGCAAATTTAAAGTGGTATCATGGAAGTAGCTAGCTAGCTATATGTGCACGTCTGCATGGTTTGCTGTCTGGGGGCTGTGGCTATCAAAGTTGCTTTAGCAACTAGGGGCTACTGAATAAACATAAAGTACAACGTGATTAAAGGAGAACCAATCATGGAGAGGCTTCCATTGTTCCTTTTCGGCGAGGTCATGTCAATTTCAACAGTAAGAGGGAAAGCATCCAAATTTAAAATGTGAAGCGAACTTTGCTACTGTTTTTTTCATCAGAACTTTTTCAAATAAGCTAGCAAGTTGAAGCAATTCGGTCATGTTAAGCATATGCACAAGAATGTCAGCTATGTCTAGAATCGATTGTGTATGATTTACGATACATACATTTGTTATATTCATGCATATATAATATTTGAGGGATTTAAGAAAGTGGAATTTCGCCAAAAATCTTGATAAAAGAATTCCTCGTGTGCTTTTTCGAATAAGAGCTCTGCTCCTATATTATGACCCCATCCTTTCTCTGTCTAAGCTTTCGTCAACCCCTAACAAAGCCATACCCATGGGTTTTTGTTTTGAATTGATCACTATGCATGCGGATTCTGTTAATTGTTGGCTTTGAGTTTTTGAGTTTCATTATAAAAAATTCTTATAGTGGTTAAAATTACCCAAACCACCTGAACTAACTGTTGGTAATTTTCTCCTTAAGTCACATTTAAATCTTAAATGAATTTCAACAAAATTTAAAGTGAAGAGCATATTATTTTGCTGGTTACAACTGCCTCCCCATGCTATAGCTTCCCTTCAAAATTGATTGAAATCCATTAAAATTATTTTTTTCTATTTAAATTTAGTTTAATTTTAATATTTTCAGTTATTAGGGTATAGTAATTTTGAAACCCGGTGGTCTTTAATAATGAATAGTTTCCTTACTAGGGTTTCGATTTGGGTGGGGATATGCTCCAGGCTATAGTTGGGGCTATGAGTCAGCGGCAATGCGATCAACTCACATTCAGGTAATGGAATGGGCATGCTGCGATGATGCAGAAGTGAGGAGTGTGAAATGGATGGAAAGAAACTTAAAAAGGCACACAAATAATTTTCTCATAAATTCTCTGTTTGTAATGTTATTAATTAACTAGCTTCCATCTTTTCCATGTGGCATTCAAGCACACCTTTGTAAGATACTCTACTGCCGAGAATAGATTCCATGAGGTTGTGCACATGAGCACACCTTGGTAAGTGACATGCCTATCTGATACCTGATTGCTTCCAATATTCTACAATTAAACTCCAATTTCTAATAGCATTTTTTGTAATGTGTTCTGTAAATATTTTGTACATAACTAATTTTTAATATAGCGTGGTAGGATCCTCTCTCCTGCTGTTTTCTGTCAAAAAAAATTATAATAGCATTTACTGAGGCAAATAGTGCATCATTTTGTTCTTTTTATTTGACAGTGGATAAACAATAGTTGGCTATATGAAAGCTATATTGCACTAGACATTTTACAACTTGGAGACCATGAGAAGGCACATTTGTCAAATATAGAAGAATGAGATTCCACAGATAGATTTGTCCATGGGCACTGTAGATATTTGTGTTTGGACTGAATTTGTTCTGGGACATTAGATCACTAAATTCCTTAACCTCCCTGATTTTTATGTGTTTAACCAATAAACTGTTTCTTGGTATATATTTTTTAGTTGTGCACCTTGATTTTTGTGACGTTAGTGAACTTCATATTTGACTTTTGCAATTTGCCCCTATATTGGAGTTTGGGATAAGGTTTCATGGACACAAGATTATATTTATCTCGAAATGAATTGCTTATTTCACTCATCAATAGAAGTATGGAAAGTCATGTGACAGCATATACACATACATATGCATGTGTACGTGTAGTTTCAAAAAACGTCTTATGTAAAAATAAAAATAATAATAGTAAGTTAAAAATGCTAGATATATATATCAATGTGAAAGCATATTTTCCCACAAATTTATCCATGGTCATGTCCCTATGTAGGATCAAAGATATCCCTAGAGGAGGGGGTAAATAGTGTTCTAAACACTAAGGCTAGAAAATTAAACCTGATTGATTACAAGATGAAGCCTTCAATTGAAGCCACGCAACCCTAGACTCTTGATGGGTACACTAAGACACTCTCAATCTTGAAAGAAGACAACTCAAGCACTAAACTTACAAGAATTGATCTAACATTTGCTCTAGGTGCTCTTAGGTTGTTCTTTACCCTATTTCTCAACTAACTTCCCGTGTGTTCTGTGTACACGCTTTCCAAACAGCTAAGCGGTATGTGTTTTGCCCAAAAAAGATTCTATATGAAAGCTGCTTTAAAATATTATATTAATATATATATTTTTTTAAAAAAAGCTAATACTTAATTAATCATACACTAATGAGTCACTCTGTTCTGTGTGCGCAAGGAATTAGTTTCCAACACCAACAACTGCACACCCTTAGACTCGTTAAGTTTTTCTGGTACAAGTGGGATCCAAAAGGGAGGAGACCATAGCGCCTGATATTTTTTTAAAAAATGATTTGCGGGGGTAAGATAGCCCCACGCATTTTGCACAAAAGAAAACCATCTTACGTAGATCGAGAAAACCCTCGAACCCTTGCCTCACCCTTACACAACGGCAACATAGTTTGTGTGAGAACGACCACAACATGTGTCAGGCCTTAGATATGTGCTTTCGCGTGGGACAGACGACAATTTTTTTCTAAAATTCACTCACATGGGGAGTCGAACTCAAGACTTGAGAGTGCTACTAGAGCCACCTAACCAACTCAGCTAGAGGCCCGTTCGCTAGCGTCAGACATATAGCCTCAACCACTCAGACTAGCCGTTTGAGCCTGGTCAGTAGTTCAAAGTTCACAGTGTGACAACAATCGAAGAAGTATTGACCTGGTTTCTCCGGTACAACCCGGTCCTTGCGGATCACCGTTATTCTGGACTGTCTTGTAGCTCTCAGACTATCTGAGCAATGCAACTCCACAATAAGTGCGAACATATTGCACACTATATGAGTTACACACATCGGACTGTCATCCATTTTATTTCCACTATACGGCCAACACATGGCCCATTTGGACAATGAATTGATCGTAATGTCCGATCCAATGGTTTAGCCGGACTGTCTACCATTACTGGGACTGTCCAGCTAGTTCAACTTTCAGGGTAACATCAAAGATCTTTGTTTGCAGCATATGCCAACACTCCCACTTCATTTAGTATTTGATTTGAAAATATATAGCAAGCTAGTGTACACCACTCCTAGACTCCTTGCAACTCCAGGCTACTTAAATTTCATCATATCTTTATAGTACGGTCTTTTGGTTCTAAAACTATTGCATTCACCCAACTCAAACACAAAGGTTCCACAATTCGATTTAATTTACCGCACCATAACTCACAAGGGGATACACCAAACAATTTTGCATCATGCATGACTCCATAAAGTCCAACAGAACCCTAATCTTTGCACACTTAGCAACTATCACTACTATAGAAAATGCTTTAGCCTTTAGGTTTGATTGCTAGCCCCACTTGAGTACCGGATTTGACAATCGGCACCCAGCAGGCAACACCTTTGAGTTCTCTCAAAGGTGTCGGTTTAAGAACTGGCACCTTTAAGGTCCAAGGAATGAAAAGCAAAGGTCGGCTCAATTCGAGCTGATGCATCGAGCAACTTCCCTTTACCCCAATCAGATCTCATTGCACATTTAGTTGCATTTAATCCAAGAAAAGGCAAGAACACTAAAAACATAAGAACATCAACAACACAAGCAAGGGGAGGGGATGGGAGGGTGTCGGCCGCCATAGCCGCCTCCCCTTCCACTGGATCTAGCGGAGGGGAGGTCGCTGCCGCCGCTGGGTGGGAGCAGTGGAGAGAGAGGGGGACCGAGAGAGAGAGCAGTGGATAGAGGAGGAGATAGAGGGAGGAGATAAGGAGGAGAGAGAGAGAGGTGGGTGGGTGCGTTGACGAGATAATTAAGGCCGAGGGGAGAGCGCGCGGGTCAGGCTATGCTTGATTTTTCAGGTGTCGTTTTTTTAAAAAAAATCGACACCTATATAATTGGTGGCGGTTTTTCTTTACAACCGGCACCTATAATTACTTAAAGGCATCAGTTCTATATATTTTCAGATCGTAGAGGTAGGAAAAAAAATCTATAGGTACTGGTTTTAATACTTCCGGCAACTATAGTGTTGACTTCTATGTGTATTTTTTTTGTAGTAGTGTATGATTAGTTCCGATGATTATGTTGTTATTAAGCGCTAAAATAACCATAAAGGGGCCTAGATGCTTGCACCCAGTAGAAATAGTGTATCGAGCATTCCAGTCGATCGACGCACTCCTCCAATCGGCCAATCCCACAACCCCGATCCATGGGAAAGGAAAGAGCCAAATTACCATGACACTATGGAACATGATGCATTAAAGATGCTACAAAATTAATTGTATATAACTGATATGGCACAGATATGTTTATTCCCAGACATCCGCCATGCTGCAAATTGAAATAGCAAATGGAAGAATAATGTGTATAATCCTGTCAAACAATCAGAAGAGCATCTTGTAGAAAGTAGATTCAATACTATTGAAATTGATAAAACGGGAATCACATGTGTGCGCAATGAGACAGCATCCTGTCGTGTAGACCACTATAAATAGCAGCAAAACCTAGTCTGTTTTTCCCAAGCCATTGCAAGGCCTGTTAGCATTTGTAGAGCTAGCTAGCTTAGCTTCAGCTCACACCTACATATATCAGCTCTCACAGTCTCAAAACACATCATGGCAAATGACTCATTGACAAGGAGCCATATAGTTGGAGATGTGTTAGACCAATTTTCAAACTCAGTGCCTCTAACTGTGATGTATGATGGGAGGCCTGTGTTTAATGGCAAGGAGTTCCGTTCCTCGGCAGTCTCGATGAAACCTAGAGTTGAGATTGGTGGCGATGATTTTCGATTTGCCTATACCCTAGTAAGCCCATTAAATTAATTACTTCATACCCGATCCAAAAGAGTCATATTGATAGATGCATGGGTAGGCCATGCATATATATACATTGTCCATGGTGTTGGCAATGCACTTTTTCTCTTAATCTTAGGAGCTCTTGAGGTTGGACAGACCAAGAAAACAACAGCTTCACTAGCCATGATAAACCTTGGCCTAGCTCTTGTTGCAATGTGTTTGCCTCAACTAGATGGTGCTCTCTGCCAGCTGGTTAAGCTAATTGAGCAATATTACTAACCTAAATTAATTAGGCATTTTCAGCCCAGACCAAAAAAATACTCAGGTTTATTTTAATCCCTTTCATGTTGACCATGTGTTTGTGTGAATTGTTAATAAAAATTAGGTTATGGTGGATCCTGATGCTCCTAATCCCAGCAACCCAACCTTGAGGGAATACCTGCACTGGTAAGCTATGCTCTTGCAATTGTTGTGATTTCTATCATATGTCTCACATTGATTAGTGATCTAACTACCTACTTTTCAATATGACAGGATGGTGACTGATATCCCATCATCGACGGACGATAGCTTTGGTGAGTATATTCATATTGTATCCAGGGTCTCAAGCATACACAACTACTCTGCTGCATTAGCTTTTACTTGCTGTCTTCAAATGCTTGTCACTAGCTAGCAAATACTGATCATCGATCCTTCAACTTTGATTACTTTTTTTAAAAAAAAGTATAAATACTTAAAAATATTTCATATTAACAAAGTATACATCCTAATTAAATGCATATAGTCATGAAACTTTTGTGCATCATGATCCAACAATGAAAAAAAAATTGATGTCCAAAGTTAAAATTCATTGGTTTCAAATAATGAACAGTTATATATTTGAAACCCGAGGGAGTCACAATATTGGAGTGTTCCTTCATATGGCCAGTACAAGTTTGGAAAATGGTTAAGTTGATAGATAATTAAGTAGGTATGTTTAACCAAAATGTTGCATGCTTGGTGTGATTGATTTAAAATTCATACATCACAAATCCGGTTTCTTTTGTGCTGGTCCAAAATTCAGAAATATCAAGTAGGAGTATATGATTGTAACTTTTGTTGTTATATTTGGAAAAAAAATTGCAGTACAACTACAAAGTAGATCTAATTAAGCCAGTTACTCGCAAGGTGCATTTCTATTGATATTGAAATAGTGCAAAATTGTTCTACAAAACTGCTGTCTGTAAAATTTCAACTACAGGTTCAATTCGTCTCAATGACTCCAAAATAAAATTCTTGCAAACAGTAGGATCGAAGAAAAATAAAATAAAAACTTGCTAGACACAACAAATCTTATTCTCTCCCTTCTTTTCACACTTGATGTCAAATAAGTTGGACGTAAAATCTTACAGAATTATTTTTCTCCTCAAACTAGCTTGGTTCATATTTTTAAAAAAGAACATGATTTATAGCACCGTTCAACATAAATATGGTATTTAGTTGTATTCCCCCCTTATACCATACTAAGTTCGAATTAATAATCTGAACATGAATAAAAACAGTAGAAATATATACTATGTTGCATCTCTGCATATGGTATAGCACATACACCGGCGGATCCACCGCCCAGCGACCCGATCGAGCAGTCACCCGGGCTTATCGGTGGAAGATCCTTTTGAAATTCTATGCAATTTAACAAATTGAAATTGAACATTATAAGCAAATGTTAGCTATAATTAAGTATGTCCAAGGCTTTAAAATTTTACTGAGCACATATCATATATAAATTAAATTAATGCAGGGCGGGAGATCGTAACATACGAAAGCCCAAGCCCCACCATGGGCATCCACCGCATCGTGATGGTGTTGTATCAGCAGCTTGGGCGCGGCACGGTGTTCGCGCCGCAGGTGCGTCAGAACTTCAACCTGCGCAGCTTCGCGCGCCGTTTCAACCTCGGCAAGCCGGTGGCCGCCATGTACTTCAACTGCCAGCGCCCGACAGGCACAGGTGGGAGGAGGCCAACCTGATCTGATCAATATCGATCGATCTTCGATCTTCTAGCTCTTGTACATGTTGAGTGTTGACCAATATAATGGCCACTCATGCATATATATATATATATATATATATATATATATATATATATATATATATATATGCAGTGTGTCTAGCCAGCTGCATGCAACTTTGTCTACGTGCTTATATAATTAAACAAATGCATATATAGCCGGCCGTATCATAAAGTTCCTAGCTATAAAAGCTATAGAATAAATGTCGCCCCACTTGGTCAGTTGGTGTACATGACGGCTCCTAAGTGTGCTATCATGAATATGCTAATAATAGCAGTTTAGTATATCATCCCCGCAAAAAAAAAAAGTTTAGTATATCAAGTGTACGTAGAGATGTGACATTTTGTCACACATTGGAAAATAAACTATATTGTAATAATATGCGTGGTCGTTTAATATTCAATATTTTCTGAGTAGATTTCATATAACCCTAGATATTATGGTGTTAAACACAATTATAGTGGTTTGCAGTGGCGGACCGAGAAATTTTCAAAGACTAGGGTTAAGGTATGAATCAACTAATGAAGTGTTGGTTTTCTACAAAATTTACATAGTGATTTAACACAACTTAACAAAATTTCCTTCCATTCCAAATTGATCTATATATTTCATAGGTACACCAAGACAAAAAAAAAGCTAATAGCTCTCTCATACTATATTTACTCTAGCAACAAACTCGATGCATGCACCATCCCTACTATTTCCTAGCCAATAGCAAATCAAGATATTACATGCGGGTTATAAATACTTGTGTGCATGGATGCATGCATCAATGTCCATTACTCCAATGCACAAATAACGAATAGACTTAATGAATGAACACAAATATGATGATCATTTAGAAATAACCTAAAAAAACTATATGATGATCATTTTGGAACGGAGGGAGTAAGATTTTAGAGGCATGTCTAGGGCTCAAGCCCTAGCTGCCCTAGTCCTGCCTCCGCCCCTGGTAGTTTGGCACGTGACACATAACCCCGAGTATTATGGTATCGATGCAAAACTATGATGTTAACTAATTCAACATAATAATGTAGCACAATGAAAAATAATAACCTTATATGGCTACAACATTTAGACGATACATTAAACGAACTCATAAATTTCAAATATAAGTTTAAAATTCATAATAAGTGTACTACATCAAAGACAAATTAGTTAACGGTAAAAACTGTAGAATCATAATATATGTGGTTCTATGCAACACATCAAAACCCTCATGGTTTTGTGCAAACATGAACCAAAATATGTAGGGTTTAGTGAAATTTACTCATATTTTCATAACCTAATTAGCTTTTAACTTAAGAGAACTATCTGAAATGTGTTTAGTCATTGCTATTAGATACAGATTAAAATCCTAAATACATATATAATTACTCTATCCGTCCCAAAATATAATACTACTTATGTCCCATAATAATTGTATTTCTAGGATTTGTATTTGTCCCAAAATAGTTGTCACAATAGAGTACTAATGGTCCCATTGATCACTTCTCGTTCAAATTTCTTCATATTTTATCCTCAACTACTCTCTCACTCTTTACCTATACACCATTTAAGAAGGGACATCATAGTTTTCCTTCACAAACCTTAATATATGCTAAACACTCTAGAATTACAATTATTTTGGGCCGGGTGTAGTAACTTTTAGAGGTAGGCATTGGTAAGAAGAAAGCTTAAATAAAATAATAAATGGTTGTGATTAGCTGAGATGATGTAGCTGAGAAATTAAATGGGTATAGCAGTCCAATTAATACTCATCCTCACTACTCCATTCTGTGTTTGACCCATGGAGTGAAAGAGGAGATTTCTCTCTCTGCACGCACGCTTCCCAAACTGTTAAACGGTGTATATTTTTGAAAAAAAATCTATAGAAAAGTTGTTTAAAAAATCATATTAATCTATTTTTAAAGTTTAAAATAATTAATACTTAATTAATCATATGCTAATTACTCACCTCGTTTTGCATATTTTTCCAATCTTCTCATTTCTCTTTCTCTCAACCCCAATAACCAATGTCTGTGACGACTACTACCCAACAAAATTTCATGGAAAAAATGTGAGCTGTATATGCCAGTATGTTGAATAAATTCAGCTGTTCATTACAACTGATTCTATACAAAATAAATTTAGAACTATTACAGATATAAAAAATATACTTGAATAATTGCTTGGACAATTACATTCTTTGGAAACAATATTTTCTCTAGTTATTCATGGTAAAGGCATAATGCCCTGTTTCCAGAAAAAAATTACAATCTAGTATTGTTTCAATTATAATATTTTAGTAATTGGTAGTTTTAATAATTTATTGTACACTATATGCACTTTACTTCAACTATGTTCATGTTAGTTTTTCTTGCACATGCCTTCATCATTTATGTTTGAAGGAGTGTTTTTTTTAAAAAAAAAAAACTCCGTACCCCTATTCTCAAAATCTTGTGTTCGCCACTGGAAAAAAAATAAATTCCTTCAAATATATATGCACTTTATTTGGGACACAGCTTTGCCACAGTGGTATATAGAAACATACTGGAATAATTCATCTTCATCAGCAGCTGACTTTATCTAGTTTTGCTTGAGTACCCAACTGTCTGTTATGGTCTAATATATGCAGTGATCTGGGGTGATCACTAAACAAATACTCCCCCCGTCCCAGAATATAAAAAGTTTTAGGTTGGACACGGTTATTAAGAAAGCAGGTAGAAGTAAGTGGTGGAGGGTTATGATTAGATGAGCAGTGGAGGTAGGTAGGAAAAGAGAATGGTAGAGTGTTGTGATTAGTTGAGAAGAGAATGTTGGCGGAGAAGCTGTTATATTTTGGGACAAATTCTGAGAGCTAAAAGTTGTTATATTTTGGGACGGATGGAGTAGTACTTATGAAGACACCTTGGTCTCACAGATGTTTTTACCATTTTTCATGAAATATCTGAAATGCAAAAAAAAAGTGGTTTCATTCAAGGATTATATATATACATGAAATGGAGAAATATTATCATTAATAAATCTAAGGCTGAGTTTGAATATAAATGTGTTGAGAACTTCTTTCCCTGCAAATGCAAAATTAAGCGAATTATTAGCGCATGATTAATTAAGTATTAGCTAAAAACTTAAAAAATAGATTAATATGATTTTTTTAAAAAAACATATTTCCTATAGATTTTTTTTTAAAAAAAAATACACCATTTAGTAGTTCAGGCCACGTGCGTGTGAAAAACTAGGAACTCTGTGGCTAAAGAGCACTTTTGACACCAACGGGCACCGGTGGTTTGCGACAGTACTACATGTACAAAAGCGTGGCTTTCATCTTTTGCTTGTTGAGTTACCTTACACAGCTTAAATTTGAATTTTGAAATAAAGTTGGTTTTTTATTGTAGTTTATTTGTCTAGCCTTGGATTTTAATTAAATGCTAATAATTAATATAGATATAAAAGTTTTACAATAGATTACCTTTTTTACTTTCGTCTATATTTTTTTTAAGTCTTATTTGCTATAACTACAAATGACAAAAGAAACTCCGTAGTTAGTTAACTTGTTAGCAAAGTGGATTGGCTAATGTTGGGGCAATGAAACATATGTGTCTAATCCCAATGTTGGGACACCAATATTTACAAACATAGTCAGCAATCCAACAATTTTGGCAGAAACCAAACAACCCCAAAAAACTAGGGCTTCTATTCTAGAGCTAGTGTCATATTGGTACCAACCAATACATGTCAGTACGAGACATGGTACCTCATCAATACCAGACTAGTGGTATCATACCCAGGCGAGGGGGAAGAGTAGAAAGGATGGAGAAGGTTACTGGCGTCGGTTCTTCCACCTGGCAACTACGACGATGAGCTCAGGCAGCGACAGATCCGGTGGCATTGGGATTGGCATGTGTTGTATCCAATGACTGGGAGCTTAGGCGCTTCAAATCCACCATGGATGGGCAATGGAGAGGGGCGATGAGAAGGCTACAGCTACATCGGGGTTGTGTGGTGTCTCAGGTGGAGGCGGAGTCAACAGCAATGTAGCTCGCCGGTCAGCCAAGCATCCCAGAACAAACAAAGAAACCTAGGAGTCGAGCCCAATCCATGAGCTGAGGAATGATACCATACCATATGTTAAGGGATGTAGCCGGATGCGCCGCACTCGAAGTGGATGAGAGGACACCGCCGGTGTGGAAGAGAATAGAGGCCATCTGGCCTTGTTTTCCGACAGTGCTACCGCCATGGCCCATACCGTCATAGAGAATTGAATGGGAAGAGAGGAATCGTAACCGTCGGCTAGGGCCTCACGTTGCGGCACTCCTAGAGTGCAGCGTGGGTGGTAGCTCTATCGCGACTGTCGCCACCACCCGTGCATTCACTTGGTGAATTATTTGGAATCATACCGTACTGATGCTAGGGTACGGAATCCCGTCTCCGAGCATTCCTATTAACAATTGGTGTAGCAAGCATTATGTATAATGGGCAAGTGGGGAGTGGATCTCATGGAAAACATCATCGCTTTGGTATTGCCCATGACACCATACTCCGTTATAATTACCACCAGGGAAGTTGACAAATGACAAGCTAGCTAGGTCTCTCAGGCATGTTCCAAATGCTGCTGCATGCACATATGCTTTGCGATGAGGCCGGCGTTTGTTCGTTGCTGCTGGTTGTGTTGTTGTGTCCAATTGAGGAGCTGCCCAAAAAGCATCATTCCTTTTTGTGTGGTGGCCTCTTTCCCTTGATGCAATCTTCTGTTTGATTATTGCTGCATCTTGGGACTGTGCGGAAAAGGACCAGTGCTTGAAGCACAAAACTTTAAGTGCGATTTTTGTGTCATTTTCCCTGAATCGATTAAATTTATTCCAAACTGATATGGCAAAAGTAGTAAGTATCACATTTGAGATTTGCTAACCATTTGTTTGTTCTAAGGCTTAAAAGTACTGTACGATAGCATATTGTGCGATTAATTAAGTATTTTATTAGTACTCAAGATGATATTACACTACAATTATCAGCTTGTCAGCACTTCTCGATGAATTGATCACCGCAAGCTCTCACTCTGTCAGCTCAAACTCATGACAAAAGTAATGCAGCGTACTCCCTCTGTCAAAAAAAAAATCAACTTATAAGAGGGTGTAATTCCTCTTATTACAACAATCCCTTTATAAGATGAGGGGTCACGTCTTCTTATAGATTAAGTTTTTTTTTTATGGAAAGAGTACGTGGTTAGGGGCCACGGCCCAGACTATACACCATGATCGGTTAGTGGCGAATGCCATATCCTAAACGCTCCGATCGTGGCACACAACATGCATGAACTGGATGTGCGTATATATGGTGTGCTCTAGTGGCGCCGACAGGCTCTCAACAGAAAGAAGCAGAAACCTACCGGAAAAAGAAACAAATGTGCAATGCAAGTGTTTGGCTGGGCAGAGTTTTTCCGAGGGATTAGAGTGTTTGGACGGATGAAGCTATCGAGTGTTTTGTTTGATTAGAGAACATGGAAATTTTGATATGACGGGATGACGAATTGAGGGAGGAACCCCTACTTTTTAATAGCTAGGTAGGAGTGAGAGTTGGACAGGAATTCTCCCTCTATGTTACCTAAACAAATCTCGGCCATCCATTTTTACTTAAGATCTACCGTCTAGCTAAACTCCCTATCAATTCCTACCACATTCGCCAAACAAGAGATTGAAATTAAAAATCAAATTTTTACACTAATATTGCTACTAATTTACTCGTTTAAATTCCTAATATCCTCTTTCCCTAAGTTGCTAAACATGCCAAGTTTAGCACATCTTAGGCCCCGTTCGTTGCTTTAAAAAAAATTTCCGCACACGCAAAACGAGAAAGCTCACTAGAATATGATTAATTAACTATTATATATATATATATATATATAAAGCGTACCATTTAACAATTTGATAAGCGTGCTAAAGGAGAATGAGGAAGTTGAAGAAAAGAACTAAGCCTAAGGCCATCCCCAACCCTCCATGTCATTTAGTATGTGTTTGATTTGGGGACAAAGTGGGATGGGTTAGACTCATCCCTATTTTTAGGATGAGATGATCCCATCTATCTGTTTGGCATAAGGGATGGGATGATCCTACTTTTGAAGGAATGGCCCACATGTCAGCGAGAGAAAAAAGTGGGTTGGATTTGTCCGCCGGTTTTTGAGGGACCATGCCAACCCGGATCTTAAGGGAATATTCCTTGTCAGGGACCATCCTATCCCACCTATCTCCAAACCAAACACACTATAAAAAATAGGTTCAACCCAACCCGACCCATCCCAAGTTCCCAAACCTTTAACCAAATGCATGCAGTATCCATAGCATTAAATACATTGCCACATAAGAAAAAAAACTAATGTGACAGGAGAATTAATGAGGAGAGAGATAAAAAGATGAAGGAACCATTTCTCATGCAAGAAACCATCTCTACATAAGTACCAAGAATGAAAACAAGGGAATATATGAGAATTTAATTTGAAGACATCATCAATTGAATATATAGTTTCTATGCATAGTGCCTATATGACATGGCAAATATGAAAACTACTTGATAGGTATTTAAAATTGATGAAGATGAAGATTAAGTTGACGCACATGATTAGTTAACTTTTAATTATTATAAACTTGAGAAATGGATATATTTGATATTTTAAAGATATAGAAAGTTTTCATACGAAGATATTGTTTAGTACTTTGAAAAAGAGTAAATTACATTGGTGGTACACAAACTTGTCAGGTGGGTACAATCTAGTGCATAAACTTGTAAAATGTTTGTGATGGTGTATGAACTTGTCTGGTGCGTGCAAAACAAGGCCAAAAGGACACAACAAGGCTAATCTCATCGATTTAAGTGCTGATTAGGATGCGATGTAAACATGCAAGTGAGAAGACGCCATATAGACATATATATATATATGTGTGTGTGTGTGTGTGTGTGTTCAATAAAAGGTAAAATAAGGCATGATTGTTGTCAAAGAAAAACATAAAGAACCTGAGTAATGATGCAAGGGTGGAAACAAAAAGAATGTTAATGTAAGAACCGAGTTTATAAATATAGCATATCTCATGCCCATCTCATATGTGCATATCACGTCCTAATCTACATCCAACTTGGTAAAATTAGCCACGCTATGTTATTTTGGTATTGGTTCACAGCCACTAGGCAAGTCTGTACACCAAAACAAGCATTTTACAAGTTTATGCACTTGATTACACTCATCTGACAAGTTCGTGTACCGCCAATGCAATTTACTCTTTGAAAAACGTGATAACGGAAACCGAGATAAAATATGTATCTTAATGAGAAAAGAACATGGGCCCTGTGCTAATAGCTTAGATAATTCTGAAAACTCAATTCCCTCTCCTGATTTGTACTATGCAATTCCTTGTGTTGCTGATTGATTAGCAAACACCGAGAGAATCATGCAAAGGTTTTGAAGCCCCAGCAAGCAAAGTTGCGAGCTTCTGAATTGAAAGGTCAGTGTAGAAGTAGCAGTCTAGCACTGGGTTCAATGTTTTTCCTCAGAAAACCTTTGGAGAATGTTGTCATTGGCCTTCTTTTTTTTGGTTCATATGAGTTATGTGTGTGATTCTGGATCTTGAGCGCGACACGAAACAACACAAATCTGATGATGTTTACGTCTGAAGCTGCAAATTGCCCACGAGGACATGCACGGAGAATAATGAGGTAAGAAAAATGTTCTTCTTGACCACTGGGTAGCCACACCCCATGTCAATTCATGTCTGTCGAAGCGTCCATCCCAGCCTTCTGTGTGTCTGGATTGCGAAACTGTAGGCTCTATTATCAGAAAAAGGATTCACTGCAAACATATCACATTTTGCCTCATTTTTTTCTCTGAAATTTGTTTCAACAGTTCTCTTCATGTCTCGCTTAAATTTTTTCAATGAAGTGTTTTTGTTTCATTTTTTCCCTGTAAATTTTCTTTCATTTTCATTAATTTCCTTCAGTTTTTTACATTTATTAGAGGGAAGGGAGGAAATGCAAGGCGTAAGAGAGCACGATTATAATGGACAAAAAATAAGCCCATGCCAAATTCTTAATGGGCTGATGTGAGCCTAACAAATATAAGATTAAATAGGCTATCAACGAATTTTTTTATTTATTTATTTGTAAATATTTAGGAATATGCTTTGGTTTTCAAAAATTACAGAAATATACCCGTAACGTCCTTTATATGAGCGCTTTTTCTTGTTTTGGAAAAAAAAAAGCCCTCTACGAGGACTAGAGGGACTTAAATGCAAAATTTGCTTTATAGCTTATATTAAAATATTATTTAGTAATTTCAAATTTTTTTTTGGAGTTGGATAAAATCAAACTTTATATTAAAATTTTCAAGCTCGATAAGATCCTTATAGTTAACAACTTATTTATTTAAGATCGTTTAGAAGTTCGAATATTTGTTACATACAAAAGTTGCATAACTCAATCACTATTACAAAAACGGACATACATGTTGGCACTATCGGGCTAGAAATGCTAAAACTTGTACTTATAGTGCTTTTCCCCCCAAAACACGCATCCACGGGACATCATCGGCTAAAACCGTCACCTTTATAGAGAGATAGGTGTCGGTTCTAAATTAAAAACCCAACACCTATAATATTAGTGTCGGTTCATTTAGAAGAACTGACATCTATAATATATTATAGGTTTCGGTCTTTTAAGAACCGACAAATATATTTATATTATAGGTGGTTTTATAAAAAAAAAACGGATACTTATTAAGAAAACCCGCGGGAGCCAACTGAACCGAACCATTAGCTCTCTTTCATCTCTCTTTCTCTCTCTCGCTGTTTTTATTACCGCTCTCTCCCCCCCCCCCTCTCCATCCTCTCCTCTCCTCTCTTGATTTCTCCGCCTCCTCCCCTCTCCCTCTATCAGCGCTCTCTCTCTCTCCACCGCACCACCCAATGGCAGCGCTCTCCCCTCTACCAGATCTGGCGGGATGGGAGGTGGCGGCGGCCCCGCCTGGCAACAGCACCCTCCCCTCCACTAGATCCGGCTGGAGGGGATGTGGCATCGGCGGCGGGAGGGGAGGAGGCGGCGACGGCTCGGAGGTGGCGGCAGTGCCCTCCCCTCCGTCAGCTCCGGCAGGAGGGGAGGCAGCGGTGGCTCCCTCCCCTCCCCTCCCTTTGCTTGCTTTGTTGATGTTCTTGTGTTCTTTCATTTTCTTGGATTAAATGTAATTAAAAGTGTGATGAAATCTAGTTGGAGTGAAGGGGAGTTGCTCAATGCATTTTCTTGGATTAAATGTAATTAAAAGTGTGATGAAATCTTGTTGTTGTCAAGGGAAGTTGCTCGAATTGAGCCGATGCATTGAGCTGGCCTTTTTTCTCATTCCTAGGACCTCAAACCGGCACCTTTAAGAGAACTCAAATGTATCGCTTATTGGGTGCCAATTGCCAAATCCAATACCCATGTGAGGTTGGCAACCGGCACATGTCCCCTTTTTCATAGTAGTGACTCGACACTCCCAGCCTATTTCTAATTGCAATGCACCAAAATATTCCTAGTATATGTAAAATGAAAGTGGCCCAACAGACAATGCCTGATGGATTAAAATTTATGCTCTCTTTCCAATCCAAATGAGCAAAATCTATCTCTATCTCCCCCCCCCCCTCCTCCTCCTCCATTGCTAAATGGGCCAAAAGGACGACTACTGCTATTAGGTTTAGTGCCTTTTAATTTGTTGAATGTGCCAAAATTAGGCCTATATATACTTTGTGTTATTTAGAAAATAGAATTAATAGTACCGAGTGTCAATTACAATGAGTCTTATCTTAGTAAAACAAATCCAAATTTATTATTTCTGAATGGTGGAATTATCATTTCCAAGTTATAATTTGAATGTAACACATATTCTCGCCTATCACCAAAAGATCAAAAGACACCACACATGGACCGATCCAGAACTCAACATATCCACGTATACGGGCCAATTTTACACCGATACATTCAAACATATAAATACCCTGTAGACTTACCATAATACCCTGACGTGTGAGGTAATAAAATAGTGGTACCCACATATCAGCGACTGTAATGGTAATGATATTATGGTAGAGGATTCTCACCCTCAACACATTGATCTCAATCCGTGCGGTCGCCAGTGAGGCGGATGAGGCTGTAGGCCCAAGCTCCGGCTGCCGCACCGGCGAACGGTCCCAAGATGTACACCCACAGCGCCGTGTACTTGCTCCCCACCAACGCCGGCCCAATGCTCCTCGCCGGGTTCATCGACGCCCCCGACACCGGCCTGCGCGCCACACGTCATCCATGTCAAATAGACCCCCAAAGTTAGTGTGACGACATCATTTGCGGGTGTGTGAGTGTGAGTGTGCGTGTGCGATGGTGCGAGCCCATACCCAGCAAACAGCACATTGAGCATGATGGTTCCACCCACAGCCACTCCAGCCATATGACCCACCTGTAAAAACAGAGTCAGATGACCGATAAGTCAAAACTGATAAGTATTCGTGACGTGGATGGCTGCCATTTACCGCTTGGTCATCGGTGGCGACAGCCATGATGACGAACATGAGGTAGAAGGTGATGACGAACTCGATGACGAGCGACTGCGCGTGGGCGCCGCCCGGCAGCGTGGCCGGCACGGGCGCGTGCCGGCCGCCGAACATGAGCCGCAGCACCACGCTCGCCGCCGTGGCGGCGGCCGTCTGCGCCAGCGCGTACGCGGGCGCGCGCCTCCACGGGAAGCGGCCGGCGACGGCGAAGCCGAGGGTGACGGCCGGGTTGAGGTGCGCGCCGGAGACGTGGCCGACGGCGTACACCATCGCCATGACCGCCGCGCCCCACGCCACGGCCACCCCCGGGAACGTCACCGCGCCCTTCTTCTCCTCCACCGTGATGGCGCCCAGCCCCGCGAACATCAGGAAGAACGTGGCCAAGAACTCGGCGAGCAGCTGCACGCAGCGTCGTCGTCGATCGACGACCAAATTAACCAAGCACACGATCATATATATATACATTTCGTTGAAGAGAGAATCAATGGCAAATGCTGCTCAGTGCTCACCATCTGGAGGAAGGTGAACGACATGGGCATGCCACAAACCACGACGTCGCCGCCGTCAGGCGCCTGCGGGTTTTGGTGGTCATCCTCCTTGTCCATCTTGCTGCCTTCCTCTATGGACACGACCTCGACCACGGAACCGTTGGTGTAGGAGTCGTCGACTTCTCGCCGTGCCATATCTGCCGCCGGCCGGCGCACGCACTCACTGTCTCCAAATGCAAATTATTATGCGGCAAAACCGAAGACGCTGAACAAATGGGTATCTAGCTCACACACGTAAACATATTAGAAGAAAGTAGTACAGTTTTAGTTACACAACGCAATAGACCAGACAGGCTGTTGCCGGGGTACAAGGAACAAATGGGTATCTCGTGGATGTCAAGAAGAAGATCGAACATGTGGACTGAAATTATATAAGAGCAGATCGTCCTCACTCCTCAGAGTGTCAGCCCTCAGCTCTGTCTTGCCCTTAATTTCATTCTTTCTTCGGATTCACCGAGAGTGGTTGATGAAAGCCAAACCAGGTGAATTACTGAAATTAAAGATTCGAGAGATACGAACTGGGGATTGGACAAAATTGAAACGACAACTCCCACGAATATATGTTCCAATAATGACAAGGTCGGGGAAATGTATTAGAGGATGGATACAAAATTAACCTGATGCCGTCTTTTGGTGAGGGGGGGACACATGTCAGCAACTCTGCATGTACATGTTCTTGTTTCTTCAGAGAACGGCAGAGACAGACGACAACTAGTGCGTCATACATGGATGGATTTTTTTTTTCAGATGGAAAATTGGGATTTTACACAAATTAACCATTTATTATTGGCGCATGCAACACCTATAACTCGATTCGTTAGCAAATTGCTTAGTGGGTTCGGCCCAATTGATCTGGTGAAATTCAGCTCAGCTTGACGATTTGCAGTTTCATTACAAAGCCCAAAGCTAGGCTCACCAAATCAGGACCAGTCTGAAACAATAGAAGAGGTATGTGCAAGGACCCTCGGCTTCGGCTTCGGCTTCGGCTTCTTTAAAATTTGCAGTCAACAGGATCAGATGATTAAACTTACAACACAAAAATAGAACAATAGATAGACGCAATTGTGATATGCCTCTCATTTCTCATCTGATAGCTCAAATTGATGGATAGATGGATAATTTGAAAAATAAATTGTGATAGCTATTCGAGGGATAAACAAATTAATTAACTTCTACAAAGTTGAAAAGTTGCTTTATCAAAGTATTCCAAGAAAACTTTATATAGAATTGTGTTCATAAAATGCAATGTTTAGGAGCTTGGGAATCATGCGAACAAAAAATCCAAAATCTAAAATTAGAAAAGAACAGGGCCTTAGACTATGGTGCTAAGTTTTAATTTCTTCGAATTCATTAAGACCTCTTTTTGAATGCATGATTTGAAGAACTGCATGAACAGGAAAAAAATAATGAGAAATTAGGGTGGCACACCAACTTGATCCTAAGTAATGTCAAAAGCACACAAATTACTTGAATCGCGTTGTTTGGATGCTTCACAGGAAAATACTACATGAATTTGGAGAGGGAATGGCAGAAAGGAAATGTTCCATGTGGTTAAATCTAATGGTAGAATTCCTCTAAATTTCCTATGTATTTGGTTATTCTATAGGAATTTCAAAGGGTCAATTCCTTTTGTTCTAAAGGAGTACATATAGGAAAATTTTCCAAAAGATTCAACCCTACAAGTGCTCCATTGGTCAAAGGAAAAAATGAGGAATTTTTTAGAACTGAAGTCCTTTAAAAATAAATCCTACATGGTCATTTGGAACAGAGGAATGACCTTTCGAAATTCCTGTGAAATAAATGTAGGTATTTTGAAGGAAATTTAGCAACATATCTAATATTTTATTTTCTTGTCTCTTAAAATTCTATGTGTTTCTCATAGCGTTACCAAACCATTTTTCCTTCTTCTTCTTCTTTTTTTTTTGCAAATTTATGTGGGTTCACTTTCTGTATCATTCAATGAGACGTGATAACACATCTTATTTTTGTGTGTTTTCCTATTCCATGTGGGCTGAGTGCGTTGACTGGTCAAGGTGTGTGTCTATGTTAAAAAGAGTGCATATACCTCTAATCTTAGTTATACATGTGCTATGATGTATCCAACTGATGAATATGATGTGTGTGAGAGTGTGGATGTATGAGTCCAGCAGCGTGTGCTCAGAAAAAAAAGTACATTTAAATTTGAATTCTCTGACATCATTCGAAATTTCACTTGGAATTTACTTTTGTCCCACATTGATACCTCGAAATTTCACGGTTTTCATTAACACGTAAACCCTGATTGCAATGTTGTACAATGTGCAGTTTTAGTTCGTTTTAACTACAATTGTTGTTGTTATATGTGGTTTTACTTTAGTTTCATCTAAGTTCTAAAACATTTTGCGTGTAGTTTTATATTGGGTGAATAGCTAATTTAGTCCCTCAAGTTTCACAAAAGGCTCAATTTAGTCCTTCAGGTTTCATTTTGTCCACATAGGTCCTCTAAGTATTTGTTTTGGCTTAAAATCATCCTTGGCCCACTTAATATGCCATATGGATATTTCTAGTTAACAATTCTATTAGAAAATGTCTCTTTTGCCCTTAATATGTACACAACTATACACTAGAAAAAAAAACAAAAATAAATAAACAACATTGCATATGTACTTCCCATTATTTCAACATGTGCACATAAAAAACTTGAGCCTAATGGCTATCGTATACACTTGCAAGTACATAATTTATTTTTGTTTTATATAAATTACTATGCATTATCTATAAAAAAGAATTCATATTTTTTCTCTAATATATGTGAATGAGGGGGTATAAGTGTCATTTATCAAGAGAATTGTTTGTTATGTAGGTTCAAGGATAAGTTTGAATTAAAATAGAAACTTGAAGGACTAATATGGACAGATTGAAACATTAAAGACAAAGTTAATCCTTGCGTGAAACTAGGAGGACCACTTTGACTATTCACCTTTTTATATTTATGTATGACTTATAATTTTGTTCTTGTATTGTTGTAAATGTGTGTATGTTAGAATAGTCTATTATTAATTCAATCATCACGTAGTAGATGAACCATTGGATTTTCATCCAACGGAAAAAAAATTATAGCAACCCATAGAAAAACAAAACTACTTGGGCTGAGTAGGTTTGCTTCTTTTTCTGTAAGATAACTCAGAGTTCCAAACCAACTTCTAAAAAGATAAACACTCTTACTAATCAACTAGCACAGTGCCCGTGCATTGCAACGGAACACTCAAATTTCATGAGATGATTGTTTTTGTGATATGAGCATTTCTTCAAAAAATGATGTTTCTAAACAAAAATAATAAAAAGTCATAGTTACAACTCATCCAAAAAGAAACCAATCCAAATCTAAATGCCGGAACTACCTTTTATGAAAGATCAGTAAAGCTAGGAAAGAAAATTACTATAACCACTTCAATTGAAAGTAGGATATTCAGCATGAATTGTTTCGTGGTTGATGCCACGCCATCAGCAAAAGCCATGAAGCAAAATCATCATGCTAACTCAAACAACTCGATTAGCTCAAATCCCGAGATAAATACTTGAAAGATGAAATAAAAAAATATAACTCTATTAGCTCAAATCCTGAGATAAATAATAAAAATCAAATGGAAAAGGTAGTTTCTTAATCTTGGTAACATGAAAATTAGATAGCTAAGTCGGTTTATTCAGTATTTTTGTAAGAAAAAAGGGGTTTATTATAACGAGATTGATTAGCTGCAGAAAAAAAACAATCTATGAAGGAGTGATTGATTATAAGTAAAATAATACGGGAAAATTGTCAAGTGAAGAGCTCTAACATTCGCGGACAAAGCACAAAACAGACCTTGAAGGTTAGTGAATTGCAGGGCCTTGCGAGGGGTGGCAAAAAAATAAGCGAAAAAAAATGTTGGTGCGTCGGTCATTAGTTTCTAATTAACCTGCGGTCTGTGGTTTAGGAAGATTTTGGTTTATATCGTCTAGGAACGTAAAAGACTGAAATACCAGACGGTCATGTGCAGAAAAAGATCAAAGTGAAAGGAATGAGGCCGAGATAGAAAGTACTGAGACTGAAGAATTCTGTTTTAGGTATTGAAAGATCGAATTTTAAGCAATTAATTTAGTTAGTAGCCATGGTTAATCGATTGGGAAAAAATCTCTCTCTTTTTGCTTGCTAGGAGAACATTATAATTTATTTGTTGAAGCGAAGTCAACATCGAACTATTATGAGTAGGATGTAACTAATTGTCCAGCAAATTACAACCACCAAGCAGCAGCAGGTGGCCCAACCAAATTGCACAAACCAGTCTACCGAAATCTCTACTATTATAAGAATTAAAAATATTTATGCCTAAAATTTTCGTATGTCGCATGCATCCGATACGAAGAAGATCAGCGTCCGTGTTTAGTTCCCGTCTAATCATCCGATTGGCTTGTGCATCCGATTAGTGCTGACCTGCGCACTAATTAATTATCCGTCATCGAGCGTGCATCGGTTTCCCTACCCCGTTATATCGTTGGATCGAGCACTCCAATTCAGCCTAATCAAATATTAATTTGAGGAGGTGTGGAGCGATCTGGCTAGAAGAAAATCAAAAAGGAAAAATAAATAAGATGGAAGTTTTGGGCTGGTTTGAAGTTTTGGGCTGGTTTGATTAGGTCCGTTACTGATCAAGATTTGACTAGATATTGCTTACAGGGTTGACGGATTTCTTTTCCGTGACAACACATCCTACCGTGCACATCAGCACATATGGGCGAGGTCACAGTTGATTTGAACAAATAAATCTTAACTACTTAGAAAATTTGTAACTTTTCATTCATCACATCAATTTTTCGTCCATAAGTCCAATGAAACGATGGCCTCCATTCCCACATGCGCGAGTAACACATCGCCTAAGGAGAATAAAGCACAAATTCAAAAATAGATACAAAATCGAATAGGACAATCTAAAGAAAGAGAAAAAGAATAGAAAAATAATAAAAGCTGCACAGATCTTATCTTAATCTTTGTCACCACCGGATCTGCCCGTGGGAAGCCGCCATCACCATCAGATCCGCTTGTTGGAAGCCGTCATCGTCGCTGGATCCGCGCCGATGCCGCCAACACTGGATCCGCCCGCAACAAGCCGCCGACATTGCTGTCGCCACCGGATCCGCCCGTTGAAGCCGCGAGAGGACGTTGTCGCTCATGATGGGGGAGGGCCCCACCTCCACCACCCGTGCTGAGTGAGGGCGCTGCCACCGTTGCACGTGGTGGGGGAGTGCACCGCCGCTCGCGTGGGAAAGAAGGGGAATGCATCTTGGGTTAGGTTTTTAACATACAATGTTTTATCTAAATCACAAGCGATCCTAACCATTCGATCGAATCCGGCGACTCTCAGGGCACCTACGCCGACTTGGGCCATGGCCTGCCATATGGGCCTAATGCATTTAACAAGCCAGCCACGGTGTGAAAGAGAGATACGGGCCATCCTTCTAATCATGGGCCTAATTATGTTTTATTTATTTTCAGTGGATTTAAACTATTTTTTCATTAGTAAACTTAATTTAAGCACTACTTTAAGCCATTAAAAATTGCTGAAATTTGATATAGTTTTTCATTCTTCATACTAAATTACTTCTAGCTAAATGGAGTCGACAAAAATGTAATTACTTATTTGTATGATATAGAATTAGGTATAGATTTAATTCATTGTTTATTTACAGGAGTGTCCTATATAATTCCCATGAAACTATAAAATAACTATAATCATTATCATAACATTAGTTTTTCCGTTGTAACGCACGGACATCTTTTCTAGTAAAAAAAGAGTGAAGTACACGGGCGATCCTTAAACTCGTACGGATGTGACATCTATATTCCTAAACTCTCAAAATAAATTTTTGGGTCCCCAAACTTGTTATGAGTGTCATATAGGTCCAAACAAGCTCCAACCCGCTCAGTAAAATGATGTGGCATGCCACGGTGACGCTTACGTATCAGTGGGATCCACATGTCAATCATATAGAAGAAAAATTTAAAAATAGAGAGAGAGAGGAGAAATGATGTTTTTAATTTTGAAAAAATAAATGAAAAAAGAGAGGAGAAAAAATATGTTCTTAATTTTTTGGCAAATTTTGCTACAGGACACTTCGATTTTGTGGTTTTAGCTATAGGACACCGTCCGAACTCACTCTTGGGGAAAACACTCCATAAACGAGGTAATTTGCCAAACGACACTGCGTTGATTAGAATAATAATTTTCGGTTGAAGATTAGAGAGAAATCACGTGAAATGTCAAAAATGCCCTTGGACCCACACATCAGTTCTCCTATCTCTCTTCTCTTCTCTTCTCTTCTCTCTCTATCTTCACTCCATAACGCCGCCGCGCTATGCTACCCGTCGTCTTCGTCATCGTCCAGCCCTCCCTTGGCGGGAGTGGAGAGGGCATGGAGGTGGAAGGCGGGGTGGTTGTGGTGGCGAAGAGGCACCGGGCGGCATCGATTGCCAAGGCTCGAGCTCGTCGCGGTGGAGGAGATGGCGAGGACGGCGGGAGTAGCAGAGGACAGCGGGGAGGAGAGCCGCGCCTTCATCACCAACTGCGGCCACTCCCGCAGCGGAGGACAGCAATGACGGCGGGAGCGGCCGCCGCGGTGTTCACGGCGGGGGACGGCGACGACGTAGCAGCCGGAGCCCTCGCGCACGACGGCGGCGGCGAGGTCGATCCCCTCCTCGAGTGGGACGCGGTGCGCACGTAGCAGCCTACCCAGGCGGTGACGATGGCTAGCAGCTTGCGGACGTCGGCGGAGGGCTGGACGATGACGAAGACGCCGACGTAGGTCGGCTCGAGCAGCGCGTACTCGAGCTCGACGCCGGTGGGGTCCTTGGCATAGGTGAAGGGTAGGCATAGACGAGGAAAAGCGAGCCGGTGCGGGCGTGGAAGTCGAGGATGGGGCAGAGCAATGGGAGGAGGTCCTTGTGGAAGTAGGCCGACGATGGCGGGTACGACGTGGCGAGCACACCGAGGTTGTGTGTGGTGGTGATGACCACCTGCTTGTCGAGTCCGAGCTGCGCGAGTGCTTCGTGGAGGCACTACATCGCCGGGAGCAGCGACCACGACAGCGACGAGTTGCTAGCGCCGGGAGCCCCGGCTGGATGACGGACCGAACCCACGATGCAGCGCCGCAGGGAGTTGACACTGCGGCAAGGCATTCGTCGGGGACACCGACGACGAGCTCCACCCCAGTGTTGGCCGGGTCGGCGTCGTAGAGCCAGACTCGACCGACCTTGAGCGACGACAGCATCGACGACATGGCCATTCGCCGAGGCAGGTTGTTGCCGACACGGTCGTAGTTGATGCCCGAGAGCTGACATGGAAGGAGGAAGATAGAGAGAGAAAAGAAGAGAGATATGAGAGCTGACATGTGGGCCTAAGGGTATTTTTGACATTTCACGTGATTTTTCTCTTCTCTTCAACCGGAAATTATTATTTTAATCGGCACGGTGTCCATGGGCAAATTACCACGTTTATGGAGTGTTTTCCCCCAAAAGTGAGTTCGAGCGGTGTCCCACGACTAAAACCACGAAGTCGAAGTGTCCTGTAGCAAAATTTGCCTAATTTTTTCTATATGTGGCTAACATATGGGTTCTATTGACATGTACACGCCACCATGGCATGCCACGTCAACACACAGAGTGGGTTGGAACCCGTTTGGACCTTTATGATACCCGAGACAAGTTGAGGGATCCAAAAATTATTTTGAGAGTTTAGAATCTAATTGACACGTCCACCCAAATTTAGAGACCGCTCGTACGCTTTACTCTTAGAGGAAAAAAAAAGAGGAAACAGGAAATGGGGAAAAAAAATCCCGTAGATCTCGTCATCTACACCACGCTATTCGTATCGCTCGCGTCGCTGCTCCCCTCTATCTACCACCACGCCGTTCGCCGCTGCCTCTATCCCCACCCCTACCGGTGAGCTCGGGGGCGTCTAATCCGGCAGCCCGCCTGCTGTAGCCGCTGAAAAAGAGGGTGAAGCCTACAGGCGGCTAGAGGGAGTATTACGTCACATCAAAGGGTGGAAAACGTAAAAATGCTGCAGCACAGTGGTTTGTTGTAGCCTACACGTCCCCGCAAACCCCCCCAAGTTTTCAACTTATTTTGCAAGCCGTCTCCCTCCTCCTCCTCCCACGTCTCCGCTTCCAATCCAATCGAACTCAAATCAATTCCCTCACGAAATCCCCAAAAATCCCCAAATCCTCACGCGGCCACTCGATTTGATCATGGCGGCCAACGATCGGCTCTACCCTCCGATCGACCCGTACGCCCTGGAGCCACCGCAGTTCGGCGACGACGCGGCTTGCGGAGGCGGTGGCGGTGGCGGCGAGGTTAGGGTTCGTGACCCGTCGGCGGTGATGTGGGACGAGGAGCCCGAGGCGTCCCCCTCCTCCCCGGAGGAGCCGGTGACTGAGGTCCGTAGCACTTCGTTTTTCTCCTAATTTTGTGCGGTTTTCGGTCTTTGCTTGTACTAGATTGGAGTGGTTGCGTGTCAGGGTTCGTTTGTGGTGGATTGAGGGTGGGATTTGGAGGAGAGGGCGTGTTTGATTGATTGGTTGGGGATGCTTATTTGGGCGCTTCGGATTGAGGAGTGGAGAGCATGCGGTGAGGTGGTGCTAGCTTTATACTAGTAAGGAACAATTTGTTACATGCATAATGCTGCTGGTGTGGCTAGTTGCTGTTTCATGTGTGGTTGCAGGGTGTAGAGCAGCAAGCGTCAAAAAACTCTAATTGAGTAGTTGAAGTTTGCTAATGCTGTAAAGTAAAAAGGTCGTATTTGGATTGATACACGGATGTACCTTTTTCAGGCAAATTTTGGACTCTAGTTTATATGTGATAACTACTTTGGTCTGTCGATTTCTTTAGATGCATATGCTACACTATGAAGAAAGATAAAGAGATGTGTTTACTTTTTCTTTGTATCTAAGCATGATTTGCGTATGCTTGGGAATGCCTAACTAATAATCAATGCGTGGAAGCTCCTTGAAATAGCAGCACTGGGATATACTTCATCAATCTCTAATAGCAACACTTGGATATATTTCATCAATCTCTCTGTTTCTTTCCCGAAAAACTATTTTTATATTTTTTGTTAATTAATGTCGCTGTGGACTTAGCTGACTGCTTCTTGTTATAATTTATCATGACAAATCAGGGAACCCACACATTTGAGCAAGGGCCAAAGGTTCATCTTGCTGAAAATAACGTGGTAGGCAGTGCTGGTGTTGGTGATGTCTATGAATACAGCAGGGAAATGACCACCATGCAGGAGTTAGTAGAAAACACTTACTATGATTGTGCTCTTCGTGATCAAACTGGCATGTGGGTACCTCCATCGGTTCCACCGATGACAAAGCATGACCACGAGGAGTGGCAAAAGGGCTTTGGTGCTAATGGTGGGTACTTCGCTGAAGAAGATTTGTGGGATATAGATGAAGAAAACAAGGAGATGACAATGTGGGATGTGCTTGCTGCGATGGTTTCTGCGGGAAAAGATAAAGTATTGTCTGTTGTATCATATGATTTCGGAAGGCAAGGCATGTCTCTGATTTCACATTTGCTTCTTGAAGAGGCTTGTAAGGATAAGGCTGATACACTTGAAGATGCTAGTGTTGGTCTCGAACATGCACTCCTTGAGGCAGAACCAACAGTCTGGCTGCCTGACAGTGCTGCTCCTTCTTGCATGCTTTGTGGAGCTCGTTTTCATCCAATAATTTGCTCCCGCCATCATTGTCGTTTCTGTGGTGGACTATTCTGTGGTGGTTGCTCAAAGGGTAGAAGCTTGATGCCTCCAAAATTCAGCACTTCAGAACCTCAAAGGGTTTGTGATGTTTGTGGAGTACGTCTTGAGTGTATTCAGCCTTATTTGATGAATAAGATCAGCCGTGCTTGTCAGATTCCAACAAATGATTTGACAGACCTGAGCACCTTGAGGTCGTGGTTAAACTTACCATGGGCACGCACGATGGAATATGAGATATACAAGGCTGTAAATTCTATATATGGATATTTTAAGGTATGGCCATCCTATAATTCTAATACCTGTCCGTGTTATAACTTGGTTGCTTTGCATTCCTCTAATTTTTGTCTGGAACTCTGTATTCTCATGTATATCGCCCCAAAATGTATGTTGTTATGCTTGTTTGCTTTCTGACAAATATGTCTGCTTAACTAAAAATTGTTGACTGTCTATTTTTATCAAGTTCATGACTATCAAATTGGTACTAGGAACCAACTGAACATGCCTAAAATTCCAATTCTTCTGCGCAGCTGAACTTTACACAACACAACCGAAATCGCGTTTGCTATAACTCTAGCCAGCTTTAGTCCACCACATACTTCATATTCAAAACCATTGCAGCAAGGTTGATAATCCAAGTTCTTAATTTCCTATCAAACCTATACTCAGCCAAACCATTTTTCTTTCAAAGCCTTTTCATTAGTCATTATGTTCCTTTTACCATTCCAGGCCATGGTGAGAGCTTACATGATTGTTCTATTCTATCCACAATGTAAAAAATTCTGGTGTCATGCTAACAATTATTTTCACAAACCAGCATCACATGAAGTTTTAATTTGAACATTTATTAGTGTGAGCATTTATTCTGGATTTCAGATGATTTTGTAGGTTTAAATCCCAGCATATCCTTTGTAGTTCCTGAGGAAGAAAATAAGTGGTGTGGTCTGTATAGCATTTTCTAGAAGACCCTTTTGAAATTCAAATGAATCCATTCCTTTTGCCTTTGACAATGTTGAGATTGCACTATGGAAATTTCACCTTCTCTTTTCCAGCTACACTAAGGCTGGGTTCGTTTCCAAGTTTTCCCAACTCACCTCTCTCTTTTTCCGTGCGCACGCTTTTCAAACTGATAAACGGTGTGTTTTTTGCAAAAATTCTGTACGAAAGTTGCTTTAAAAAATCATATTACTCCATTTTTCAAAAAAAAAAGATTAATACTTAATTAATCGTGCGCTAATGAGTTGCTCCGTTTTGCGTGCGCGAGGGATTAGTTCCCATCCCCAAGTGCCGAACACAGCCACTAAATGCTGCTATGAAGCATTGTTAGCTATTCAGTGTTGACCACTTCATATATTCAATTACAACCTGTTCTTAAATTTGTGAGACCATGATAAAGTTTTAAGACTTTTGTCCAGCTTCTTGTTCGATCAGTCATTTTGGAATCAGTTAGAACACTAATCGCATTTTGTGTGCTTCAATGCAATTTTAAGGTTGGAAGTTTGAAACCGGAGAAGTCAATCCCTGATTCGATTCTTAGACAAGCAAAAGGACTTGCTATAATTACTGTGGTAAATGTTGGAATGATGGTCACATACAAAATTGGTACTGGATTGGTTGTTGCTCGAAGGGCGGATGGTTCCTGGTCACCTCCTTCTGCCATCTCTACTTATGGTGTTGGATATGGAGTTCAGGTCATTGCAACGGCTCAAGTGTTCTTGTTTCACCAAAGACATATGTTGAACATATTTATTTATTTATTTATTTATTGGCCTTGCAGGCTGGAGGTGAGTTAGCCGACTACATCATTGTTCTGAGGAATACTGATGCCATCAGAACTTTCAGTGGAAATGCACACCTGTCAGTTGGGGCTGGCATTAGTGCTTCTGCTGGTCATCTTGGGCGAGTGGCAGAGGCTGATTTCCGTGCTGGTGATGGTGGTTATGCAGCCTGTTACACATACAGTTGCAGCAAAGGTATGATTCAAACAACTAGCAGCTGAACAAAACTGAACTTCCTTTCCATTTTACCATTGTCCGTGTTGGCCTACAGAAGTACTCTTCCTTTCTTCCTGATTTATTCACCAGCGCACAAACCTGCACATGATTAAGTTTCCTTGAATACCAGATAGTTCAGGGAGTAGATGCTTGGTTCTTTGAGTTTTTAATGAACTAAACTAATCTGGGAGTGCGACGCATTATTGATTGTGAGCTCCTTCACATTTTACTTTCTTACATGTAGTTAAAAGAAAGGTAACTTATAATTGTTGATACCACTAGGCTGGTTGCTTCTGAGCAGCTCTTATCTTTTACCTGGTGCTTTTTAGCCAAACAGAGATGGGCAGCACTGCTTGGACTTGCTGTCAAGAACTAGTTTTTGCTACACACTATAAAGTCAAATACTGCACACATTTGAATTTTGTGATTATTGTTTAGTCCTTAATTTCTTCTTGCCAGTCATTTTTGTTCAACATACCAACGTTGCTTAAAGACTTTTAAATATCTGTATGATGGTTTGTTGTTTAGAATAACATAATAAATAAAAGGAGTTCTGGAGAACTTTAACCACGTGGCCATTTCCAGTAGCCACTTACTAATTATAGCTTACAACAAACATTCAGACAACAAGAATCTGCATACTTGTAATTCCGTGCAGTTCAATGAAGTGAGATCATGATGGTTTGGAATTGTAGCTAGCCACTTCAAAGTACTACATTCAGATAATTTAATAAAGGGATAAGTCCATTTTACCCCCCTCAACTATAGCGTTTGTCTGAAATACACCCCTTAACTTCAAAACCGGGTATAATACACCCCTCAATTCTTAAAACCATTGAAATCACACCCCCCCCTCCTGTCCTGAAATATGGTGGTTTCGCCAATGTGTGGCGCTGACGTGTCAATCTATGTCAGCAAAATATATTAGAAAATAATTAATGTCCCACATGTCAGACTGATTCTTCATCTTCCCTTCTCTCTCTCTCTTCCCAAGCCAGCAGCCACCGGGTTGGTCAGCTCGAGCGCTGATGCCGATGAACGCAGCAGACAGCGCAAAGAGGAGAGCCACGCCGCCTGGAGCTCCCCGACGCCGACCTTGAAGCCTCGTCGAGCTCCACCATGGAAGCAGATCGAGCGATGGCGAGCTCGCCATGCATGCGGTGTGGTTGCGCTACTGCCACTGGTGCTGGGTGTAGCCCGAGTCCGGGTGGAAGAAGACCGTCACGTAGCCGGCGAGGACGATGGTGTTGAATGCCGACCGCGTGTATGAGTCCCTGTGCCGGCTGCACTAGAGGAGCCCGCACCGCTGGGAGCGTGCGCACTTGGCGATGATGATGCGGTCGCAGTCGCGGACGCCGCCCCCGCGGCCCCGCCGCCGTGGCCCGTGGTGGTTGTCATCTTTGCCGCCCCGCCCGCCGCCGGCGAATGCGAACAACCACGGCCGGAGGTTCTTGACGCGCCGCCGGCGAAATGTGGAATGCAAATGCATCGGTTGCTCTTGCTGGACCTTCTCGACGCACCAGCGGCAATGGAGTTTCTGTCCTTGCATGGTGTACCGGCGGCGGCGGCCGCCCGGAGCATCACCGATCCATGCAAACCGTCCATAGTGAAACCGTTCCACCGTCAAGCGTGCATCACCGACGGAGACAAGCTGCTCGCGGCGCGCTTCGTCATCTTGCTGTTCGATCAATCAATCAACTCCAGCGGTATGCGATTGCACAGCAAAACGCATCGAAAATTAAATGGGAGCATGCAATTTCGATCGATCAATTAAATGACGCGATCATCACTGGCGGCAACGAGCTGCTCGCCGGCTACGTGATTTGCAGATCCGGAGATTCCCATTGATTAATTGCAGAAACTAGGATAGAAACCACTCGCGGGGGGGGGGGGGGTGTAAACTGCGTGGTATTGAAAGTTCAGGGATGTAAAATACCCGGTTTTAAACTTTAAGGGTGTATTTTAGACGAAGTGAAGAGTTGAGGGGGGGGGGGTCAAATGGACTTATCCCTTTAATAAATCAATACATCATACTCAGGTGCCTGGGGAGTAAATTATTAGATATAACATAAATTTAATTTGTTTATTTGAATATTTTTGTACGGAGAGAAGTGAGAGAAATGGCTTTGCAGCTTTCTGACTGTGTTGCTTAATAATCAAATCTGACTAAAAGAAATGTAATGGTTTTGAATCAAATTAATAGCATTAAATTCATGCGAATTCTTCTGCAAACAGTGATTGCTAGAACAGCTGAGGATCATCTTCAATGTTTCAGCATATATAAATAATATAATTCAGTTTTATTTTGAAAATGAAAACTGGAATGTTATGAAATGCATGCTGAAATTTTATATCCTGCTGGGAGCTTCCCCCGACGGTATTCTATGTCCTAGCTATAGATATGCACATGTATGCTCAACTCAATTTCTATCTGTAATCTCTGTTCCATTATTTCCCTTCACCATTTTCTATTCTTCTTCTCTGGCAGGGGCATTTGTGGGCTGTGCACTCAATGGAAGTGTTGTATCAACTCGACATTCGGCGAATGCCCAATTTTATGGTGGTCCAATAAAGGCATCAGAAATCCTTCTTGGTTCAGTGAGCAGGCCAGCTGCTGCCGCTACCCTCTACAGAGCTCTGTCCAAATTGTTTGAGAAGGTCGAAAATTACTCCTCTCCTCTAGATTTCTGACACACATTGTGTCCCCTGGTGATTACCCAGTGGTAACTCTAGGTATTGCTTTGTGCTCTCTGCTTACTCCTGGGTGGGTGATTTATCAACTGTACAGTTTGCCATTCGTTGCCATCAAATAGATCATCTCTCCAGTGCCACAAACAGAAAAACCACTCTGTAAATGTTGTATATATAATTGTTACGTTTGCGTGAATCATGATAAATGAAAAGAAAAGAAAAGAATCATTTGTTCTGAATGGTGATCTTTGAACCTATATCTTTGTGCTGTTCAAGCCCCTGCCTTCCTGAGAAGGATAGGCCATAGCCCATAGGGGACCATTCAATAGAAATCACAAGAAGTGTGCAGCCATAGCCAAAGGTCCTGAAGCCTGAAGGCATAGCCTTACTGGAAAGTTTCTTTCTTGCAGCACTGGAACTGAGATGTGAATCCTATGGAGATGCACTGTTATGTTACTTATGTATTTGGTTCGTTCCGGCATTACCGTACAAGGGACCATGCACTGGAGTTGCATGATGCTGGCAACCATACCCTGTGACTACAGAGACCCATTATAATGGCTGCAGTAAGCTTTTCTTGGGTACACTACTACAGAGTCACGAGTCCTAGTTTTGTAGTACAAATATCTGCTGCATCATGATGGCCGGTCTGCATGCACCTGTCACCTGTGCTACGTATATGGAGTTTGAAAAACTGAGTTTCTCTCTGTTTTTAACTTCTAGTTTATTTTCTAGATTCTATGGATATATACGGATGAAAATATAAACTGTTTGGGGGAGTTGATGATTTTAAAAGAAGTTGTAGCTACTGAAGCTCCTCCAAACAGGATTTGTATGACATACACTGATTAGATTTTGCCATTCAGTTCGTGATTATTGGATTTTAGTTGATCCTGCCACGAACCATATACACCATCTGTAAAAAAAAAGTCAAATTCTAACGTTGTACTACCTCCGTGTTTTTTAATAGATGACGCCGTTGATTTTTTTCTCACATGTTTAACCATTCGTCTTATTCAAAAATTTTATGCAAATGTATAAGATATAAATCACACTTAAAGTACTATAAGTGATAAAAGAACTCATAACAAAATAAATTATAATTACGTAAATTTTTTGAATAAGACGAATGGTGACATGTGAGAAAAAGTCAACGGCGTCATCTATTAAAAAATGGAGGGAGTATCTTCTATCTGGACATAATAAGGTTTATAGTTAGGATTGATTTTTTTTTTCGAACGGAGAGAGTATAATGGATGGCAATGGTACACCCAACCGTGTTTTTTTATAGTTAAGACCAATGCTGGTCCTGGGGTTATGATCATTTGTTAATCGGCGAAAAATAATTGTTGCCAGCCGAGTTATTTCCTGGACAAGAGCTATTATCTAAGGATAATTCCGTATAGGGTAGCCTTTTTCTAACAGTGCAGTCCATATCTTTTGGTCGGGGTGTCGATCGTCTGCACATTTCTAGCAGAGACATGCACGGTAAAAACTGTTATGTGAAACTGTGAGGCCGTCATCTATAGCTGAGTAACAGTTCTGCCAGAAATCTTCTCGTACTACTGGACTAACTTCTGTGAGACAAGAAACATGAAAATACTGTTCAGAAACAGAACGAATCGGCCGTTAACTCAATAATTACCAGCCTCGCTCCCTGCACAAACAGGCGTCTCATAGGTCATGAACTGTTCAGTTATTTACAAAGAACGATGCATGAGTGTGTGCCAGGTTTTACCTTTCCGATCCCCACCCCCGGTGCGTCAAATTCCGCTCGAATTTACCGTTTGAAATATAAATTTCTCGAAAACCATTCGAAATTTCATTCGGCATATGCTTTCGCCCCATATAGAAACCTTCGAATTTCTCGGTTTTCAACCAGTTACTGTTGAGTGCTACAAATCTTGTTGTAAAGATAATAAAGTACTAATTGGATAACAAATCAAAAGCAACCCAGACACTCTGATATCAGTGGTGTTGCGATGTGGTAGGAAAGAAACCAAGTGCAGACAATGAGCTTCTATAATTAGGGAACGATACACAACATGTGTAGGACAATGACAGCAACTCAGCAAGACAACGTAAACATCAACTTGGACAAAGGTATCCTAAAAAGGGAGCATGAACTTTGTAATACTAGCGACTTCAATCATAAAAGACATAACAGAATCCAATCAATGATCCACGTACAATGTACACACCTCCGACAGAAGTACAGAGACAACAGTCATAGCAAGGACAGCTAAAACTTGTTACGGGAGCACATGGAAAATAAAAATAAAAAAAATTAAAGAACTCCTTTCCTGCAAGCACTCCTTTCCCTTCCCATATTTTCTTATCAATTCTAAAGAAAAAATATAAAAAGAAAGAATAAAACCAAAGTAAATAAAAGAAAAAAGTTAATAAGTTGCATAAGCTAACACAAGTTCAGATCCCTGAAAGAGGATGGATATATCATCTACAGAGGACCATGGTAGGATCTCTGAATTCCCTTCTCTCTTTCTACAAACACTGAACTTAAAAAACAGATGAGTAGCATACAAATAAATATGAAATAAACCCAACCGAAGAAGTGACGCTCTAGTAGCACGATCAGGAGGGATCCGCACGAGTCTTTGAGCTCCCAAGAGTGAGCTCCAGCTCATCGGAGGCGCATTCTTCATGTATCCGCTCCCCCTCCCATGCCTTCACCAGTCCAGGTGATTCATTGTTGCCATTGCTGCTGCTCCCAAAGGCAAAATCATCCGGCGCACCATCAACCATCTGAACATCATGATGAGCCGGCATGCCACCCATTACCGGGGAACATGTTCCGCTCTGACCAGGGGTGCACACCCTGGAAGTGCTGGCAATAGCTTCTTTGAAAATCCCAAATGGATTCGGCGAAACAAGATTGTATGTTGGCGATGAGGGACCAGCAGATGATATTTGAAATCCTGAGAGCCATGCTGGGTCTGGTGCAATCTTGTGGCCTGGGCTCGGTGGTGTAGAGTTGGGAAGAGATGTATAATTTGCACTAGCCCATGGTGGCTGAACACTTGCGTTCTCCCAATCAGTCCTTAAGCGAGGTGTGCGAGTAGGGGAGCTGGATGGAGGAGTCACTGGTGCACTAATGGAACCTCCATTGAAATATAAATGGTGAAGCTGTGGGAACTTGGAGGAGGAGGCATATGATGAACTCAACGGAAGTGTCTTCAGCCATGGAATGAGGGAGCTTCCCTCGACACCACCAATCAAGCTGTTTCCACCAATAGTGATATGCGAGGAGGATCCAGAGCTTGGAAAGGAGGACGATGCAGGACTTGGGTTGTATGAAGCCCGCGGACTTGGTTGATATGAAGAGCAAGGGCTTGGCGAAGCCGATCTTCCAATTGGATCAGGACGCTCTGCTTGAGGAGGTTTACATCCCTGAAATATAAACAAATAGAACACATAATTGTTAGTACATATCTACATAATTTCATTCATGTAAAGAAAATTGAAATGCACTGGACAACAGTTGTATGGGGAAGGAAATTGTCCAGAATTTAAGCATGTCTATCCCCAAAAGAAAAATTGAAAAGAAACATGCCAATTTATCTGCAGACTTCAAAGTGAAAATATACCTCAGATTTAATGAATTATATTTCCAAATAGGCAATTACTCAAAATCTCAAGTGGTGCGTTATTAGCAATCTTGTAAAAGAAACTGCTACTCTTTTTAGACTAAATACAAATCAATCCACAGAAAAGTATGGTTGTTGTGCCCTCTGTGGGTGTGCCTATAGACAAAACACTTGTCCTGTACTACTAATCTATTCTGCAGCAAGCGCAAAAGCGCAGTTAAAAATTATGTTTTTGATCACTGAAAGCAATGGCATCATGAGCACAACACGAAGATCATCGCAAGAGCGCCATTTAGCACTCCTCTCTGTGTGTGTTGAGAAACCTTCTTTGTGTTTTATGATGTGAATCGTGAATCCCTCTATTATATCTTTTTACCTGGATGCAGGTAAGTGGCACTCTGTTATGTTCATATTTGTCTATGACCTCACCATTAAAACATGCATCATCAACTGAACCCAGCAGCTTTAAATACCTTCTTGCCACTCCCAGCAAGCAAGGCAACTTGGTGATTTCCCATACAAATGTACTACTACAGTACATAAGGGTATAGTTTTGTAAATTGAACCATGCAAGAAACCATTAAAACTGTACTGCAAATTTTGGTGAAAAGATTCTATGGCACACAATGCCGGTCATCCTCAAAAAAAAAACAGTCTTCCCCTTCAGCTGAAATGCCCACAATCGTTTCAATCTTCCGTATTCACATCTTTTTTTTTTCTTAGATATACATAATTATGGAGTTTGCTAATCCAGGTAGCCAAAATATGCATTCGCCATTATTAAATCAACTCCCTACCCTGACTCGGCAACACAAATCAAACATCTCGCAAGAGACAAGAAAGCTCAAAGCAAATAGATCAAATTTAGCGCATCTAGGATCAATCCTTAATTTGAAGCCAAAAAGAGACAATATATCACCGCATTGCATTCCCCCATTGCTGAACACTAAGCCGCACACGCCATCTTTAGCTGATTCGACATCAAACCAGCTCGAATCGAAGCAAAAATAGAGAGTGCACATCTCAAAAGAAAGCCAAAGCAGACAGAAACGGAGGAAGCTGCAGAGACGCAGATCGCAGTAGCGTCCAGGATTGCTCCGGCTGAGGTGGTGGAAGGAACAAGCCCGAATGACAACAAGAAGAACAACAACAACTCCCGCCACCGCCACCCTCCCATGGCGGTGCGGGGGAGCTAAGCTACAGCAGGATTGAGGAATAATGGGGGGATGATTTTTAACCTTGCGGTAGGTGGTGCCGTCGGGCTCGACGGTCCAGCCGGCCTCGTTGCAGAGCGCCTTGAGCACCTCGTTGTTGTCGCAGTGCTTGGGGAGGTTGTAGTTGCCGTAGGCGCGCAGCCCGGCGTAGATCTTGGCCGCGATCGCCCGCCGCCGCCGCTCCCTCCGCCGGTTGTTCTCCCGCTCCCTCCACGTCGGCACCCTCGTGCCCCCCAATCCCCCTCCTCCTCCTCCTCCCCCCGCCCCGTTCGTCATCCACCCTCGCCTCCCCCACGCCGCCGGCGGATCTGCTCGCGCGCGCTCGCTCGCCGGGGATCGATTCCTCCGCCGCCGCCTCGCCTCAGCTCAGCTCGATTGTTTATTAATAATTTCTCGCTCGCGAGGAGGAGGAAGGAGCAG